GGATTTATAGTTTTTATTACATTTAATAAGTTTTTGGTTATTGTTTCTTTAAAAAGTTTTTTTGCCAGTACCCCTTTCCCCCTTGGAGGACTCCAAAAGGGACCCCAGTAGTGTAAAGGGTTCCATTCAGAGGATCTTTCTCCCACTGTTGTCAGAAAACATTCTAGTACATTACTTGCTAAGCAGCAGAAACAGCACTAGGTTCTGTCCATGAGTTGGTGGTATTGCTGTGCCCAGGGCAGAAGAGGAAAAGGAAGAGGAGCAGGAGGAGGAAGAGGCAAGGTAAGATATCTGAAACATCTGGACTCTCTGAACTGCAAAATGCAGCACCTAGTTGCACAGATATCTCTGAGTTCATGGCTTCAGGAGGCCTTTTTGCCATAAAGGGGTAACATGGTTCCCTTTTGTCCCAGCCAAAAATGGTGGAGTGAAGGGTGGGTGGGCTGAAGGGGGTGTTCTCATAGATTTAAGACTTGCAACCCACCTGTTCATAATCCAGAGTATACCGGAGCTAAAGTGTCTCCCTTTTGCCTACCTAGTAGAGCAATTCAGGGGGTGGGTGGTGATTACACTGGTCCTTTCAGAGAACCGCCTTGTAAAAATACTAAGAAAAATACAAAACTATGAGGTCTTGCTAGAAGGATGGGGAGAAAGAGAGAAAAAGTACTTGTCACTTAAACAATAATTTTCAGAAAATAGTGCTAACACAATGTACCACCACTACATATTACACAGGGCTTGGCATGTTCAACATGCAATAGGTAAGCTTTACAATGGGAAAAACCACTCTCATGACCATGGTACCTCTCTTGCCAGGTAACCATGGGGTTCCACCTGCCACCCCAGCTCATCCTCAAACTCCTTACACTGTACACACGTGGTCACTTTGCTCCCCCTTGCTCCTCCTCCTTTTTTGAACCCCTAGTCCCTCCACACAACCCTTCCTAATAATTCAAGCAGCATCCTTAGAAAACTTCTACAGTCCTGAGAATTATATCGTATTTAAGTGGCTGCCAGACTAGTAGTCCCAGCATTGCTTGTAAACATAAGACAGCCCCCTTAATATCTCAAGGCAGCTCCTGTTCCTCCACCCAACATCCCGCCCCCCCAACCAGCCGCATCTCCCCTCCCACTCCACCCAGCTGGCCAATGGGCATGAAGACTGTCGAGGGGAGAGTGACGTCATGATCCTCTTCCACATATGGTAGCCAGGGATCCAGGGCTTGAGAAAGACTCACCTTGCTCATCTACGTGGGTTCTTAACCTTTCTCCCAGGTTATAATCTTGTATGGACCCTTGTGATTACACTGGACCCTCCAGGACAATCCCCCCACCTCAACATCCTTAACTGAACCACATCTGCCAAGTCTCTTTTGCCATGTAAAGTAACATATTCACAAGTTCCAGGGATTAGGATGAGGACACTTTTGAGGGAGTTTATCCTGCTACCACATCTGGGTGAACACATTTCTGCAAATCTGTCTGTGCCAGGCCCTCACTTCTGAAAGTCAGCCAGTTGAAAGCAAGTCAGTCCAATGAACAGCTTTTGAGTGCCAACCTAGTTGGCAGCTGACACCAGCTCACTGACATCTCTAACTTTCTCCAGTCCGTGAACTCCGCATTTCCCAAAAATTCTACATAAGATTAGCAATCTGTTCTCCTAAGAGAGACTGCCTAATCAGCATCAATCTCTCTTACTTAAGAAAGCAATAAATTCAGCTTTGTGCTTATTATTGCAGAAATTATGAAGCTGTTTATTTGACAGAATACTTTAATATTACATGTATAAAATTACAAGAAAAAAAAGAAGGAAGAAAATTTAAAGAAAGACTATGCACATGCCATCATAGGGGCATTTGAATCAAGGGGGGAGAAGGAGAATCTCTGTCAGGAGAAGAACCTGAGGATCCAGTGCCAGAGTCACCCAGGGTCAGAGAGGGGAGCTACAAACACCACGTGAGAGAAAGGGCCTGCGGTTACATGGCCATTGGCCTAAGCAGCTTCTACCTGGGCCTTTCTGGAATCTGCCCCAATATTTTTCTTTTTCTCTACTCAACACTCTCAACCTGCTTTCCACTGGTTAAGGCTGATCTTTGACTTTATCAGCACCGCACTCTACCGAGTGAGCCACGGGCCGGCCCATGATCTTTGACTTTAGAAGGAGAATCAAACCTCTGGTTTATGATTTCATAACTTAATGTGACACATGTAAAAATGTCCCAGACCAAGGATCTTCTCTGATTTTCTTTGGAATAAGTTTGACATCTTCACAAATAACCTAGAATGACAAAGAATAGGGCGAGAGTGATTCTTATTTGAATTATAGAAAATTAGAAGACATTGGTTGTCATAAAGACTTTTTTTATAAGAATGAGCTCTGTTTGTGTCACAGGAAAACAACGTAAGTTGCAAAAAGTTAAATATTGAAGAATCTTCCTCTCAAAGACGCATTTTTGCAACCATTTTTTTTAAGGCTCAGAGCTACTTTTCAACATTCACGAAGGGTAAAATACAAGAAAAGCTTTTTAGACTTTTCTCCAAAAGGAATTTG